CAATACAATTGAAAGGGAACTTGAGGATTGTCCTAAAATGTTAGAAATGTTGAAAAGTGATGCAGAGAAGCCCTTGTATGCTGGTTGCACTGAATTCACAAAGTTGTCAACAGTGTTGAAATTGTACAACTTAAAAGTGAGCAATGGATGGAGTGATAAGAGCTTTACAGAAAATCTTACAGTTATAAAACAACTTCTACCTGCAAACAACGAGCTTCCAAGGACTATGTATGAGGTAAAATAAATGCTACGCTCAATTGGCATGAGTTATGAGAAAATACATGCCTGTCCTAATGATTGCATATTATTTAAAAATGAATATGCATCATTAATGGAGTGTCCAAAATGTAATGCCTTGCGCTATAAAGAAAATGGGAAGAGTCTAAAGAAGGCATTATGGTAATTTTCCATTGTACCTAGATTTAGACGGCTGTACAGTAGTGCAGAGGATGCAAAAAATTTGACATGGCATGTGGATGAACGGATCAAAGATGGAAAGCTCGACATCCAGCTGACTCTTCTCAATGGAAAAAAATTGATCTCGATTACCCTGACTTTGGAGTAGAAGATAGAAACCTTCGCCTCGTATTATCTACTGATGGAATAAATCCACACGGGCTTCAAAGTAGCAGTCACAGTACATGGCCAGTTATTTTGGTAATTTACAACTTACCTCCATGGTTATGTATGAAGCAAAAATATATGATGCTATCCATTCTAATTTTGGGGCCAAAACAGCCGGGAAATGACATAGACATATATTTAGCTCCTTTAATTGAAGATTTAAAATTGTTGTGGGAGTACGGTGTTGAGGTATATGATGGACATAGAGAGAAAAGGTTCAATTTAAGAGCATTGTTGTTTGGTACAATCAATGATTTTCCAACATATGGTAATTTATCAGGGTATAGTATCAAAGGAAAACTCAGATATCCTATTTGTGAAGATGGCACACATTCAGTGAGATTAGAACATGGGATGAAGAATGTTTATCTCGAACATCGTAGATGGTTGCATCCTGATCATTATTATCGACGCCTAAAAAAAGCTTTCAATGGGAATTCAGAAGAAAGTAAGGCACCTTTGCCACTGATAGGTGAGCAACATTTTGACAAGGTGAAAAATTTGAATATTGAGTTTGGCAAACCTTTTGCAAAGCATCTTAGGACATGCGGGTGGAAGAAAAGGTCTATTTTTTTTGACCTACCATATTGACAATCTTTATATGTGAGACATTTTCTCGATGTGATGCACATTGAGAAAAATGTGTGTGACAGTTTGATTAGTACATTACCTCATATTTTGGGAAAGACCAAAGATGGCATCAAGGCAAGACTTGATATGATTTCTATGGGGATAAGGGAAGAGTTGGCTCCGCAAGAGAAGGGAAGTCGCACATTTCTTCATGCAGCGGCTCATACATTGTCTAGAAGAGAAAAGAAGATTTTTTGTGAGTCGCTTGCTACTGTTAAAGTTCCAGAAGGGTACTCTTCAAATATTAAGGGCCTTGTGTCATTGAAGGATTTGAAGTTGAAGGGTTTAAAGTCGCATGATTGCCATGTGTTGATGGAAAATTTTATTCCAGTAGTTATACGTTCTATTTTACTTGATACGGTTTGAGCCACGATTACAAAATTGTGTTTCTTCTTCAAGTCTATATGTAGTAAAGTGATTGACCCAACAAAATTGCCAAGATTGCAAAGCCGAATTGTGTTAATCTTGTGTGAACTTGAAATGTATTTTCTGCCTGCATTCTTCGATATAATGGTGCACCTCACTATTCATCTAGTTAGAGAGATACAAATGTGTGGCCTAGTTTTCTTGAGATGGATGTATCCATTTGAGCGTTACATGAAGATACTAAGAGGATATGTGAAAAATCGAAGTCGACTCGAAGGTTGTATAGTTGAACGATACATTTGTGAGGAGGCAGTTGAATTTTATACTGAGTACTTATCAAATGTCAACCATATTAGTCTTCCAACTTCTCGGCATGATAGTAGAACTGATGGAGAAGGAATTATGGGCAATAAAGTAGTTACAATCTCAAACTTGCAATGGGAATGAGCACATTTATATGTACTACACAACTCTGTCGAGGTTGAGGAGTATGTAGAGATGCACATGGCCGAGCTTAAGCGAGATAACCCTAATAGATCAGAGATTTGGTATGCAAATAAGCATAATAAGAGTTTTACAGTTTGTTTGAAACAACATATTCTTGAGAAGTTAACTGCCAATCCTGATGCAGTTTCTGAAAAATTAAAATGGTTGGCAAGAGGTTCAGATAAACAAGTTCTTTCCTTCACTGGCTATCTCATTAATGGGTACACGTTTTATACCAAAGAGCAAGATGATCGGAGCATAGTGCAAAATAGTGGTGTAACTCTTATAGCTCAAGCAATGCATATATCTAGTGCTAAAGACAAAAATCCCTTGTACGCAAAAATGTCATACTTTGGGGTAATTGAGCACATTTGGGAGTTAGATTACATCAAATTTCAAGTTCCAATTTTTGGTTGTAAGTGGGTTGATCGAAAAAATGGTCTTAAAGTTGATGACTTGGGGTTCTTAATGGTGGATCTTAATAGAGAAGGTTATAAAGATGAGCCTTTTATTTTGGCTTCACAAGCTTACCAAGTGTTCTTTGTTCCTGATCCGGCTAAAGTAAATTGGTCTATCGTTTTATTGAGCAGTAAAATAAATGAAGATATGAATGATTCTACAGTTGAAGATGAACCCTTTATGGGGATATCATTTGAAAGTTACTTTGTTGAGGATGAAGCCTTTTATATGAGACATGATCACAATGAAAGTATTTAGATTTCAAAGAAAAGAGGTAGAAGCATTCAAGCAAAGAAGGAGAGCAAAGATAAGGAACGTACAAGAAAAAGAAAAAAATAATTTAAACTTATAGGTTACTTGTTTTGTGTGATTTAAAAATTTATTGTTATTTATTATGTGCTATATTTGTTTTGTAATGTGTGATTTACATTAAACCTGAAAATTACTTATTATGTGCTTTATTTTTATGTGCTATATTTGTTTTGTAATGTGTGATTCTTATGTTGAAGAATTCGGGGATGCAGAAATAAATGAAGTAATTGAAAAATGGTGTCAATATATTTTTCAAGTGTGGACTTCATACAAAGAAGATTAATGTTACCTTGAAGAAATAGCTAGGAATTTTTTTAATAGGCAGTTTATTTTTGAAAAAAGGTTACTTTATGTAATTACATTTGTTTATTGATTAATTTTGAAATTGAATACAATAAATTTCGTTGGTATTAAAATCTGGAATGGTTGGCTGCTGCTATTTTGATTTTTTTTTTGCAAGGGAGTTGGTATAAAAACAGCTCACGAATTAAAAAAAACCACATAAAAAATAACGGTTATATAAATAACCGTCATTTATACTAAAATAAATGACGGTTAAAAAAATGCCCGTTATTTAAAATATGGTCATGATTTTACCATACTTTAAATGACGGGTAAATGATATACCCGTCATTTAAAGTCAGTATAAATGACGGGTATATAACTTACCCGTCATTTAAAGAGATAACTTAACCATCATTTAAAGTCTCTTTAAATGACGGGTAAGTTATATACCCGTCATTTATACTGACTTTAAATGACGGGTATATCATTTACCCGTCATTTAAATTCTCAATTTACTTCTCCTTTCGTAAAAATTTTATTTTAAATGACGGTTTTATAACCGTCATTTATTGGGGGTCTTTAAATATCAGCCGAATAAATGACACTTATTAATCATCATTTATAGACTAAAATAACCATCATTTATTCTCTTTTTTGTAGTAGTGACACATCAACTTTAATTTCAACTTTTAAGGTTACCCACATAAACTTCAACTTTCATAGGTGGGAGAAGAAATTTGCATGTAGAAATCAATACCTCAAACAACATAAGAGCATAAGAAATTTACTTTACTCCAATACAAGCTAACAAAGGAAGAATGGTAGCTTATATCTGATCTCTATCATTTGCAAAGTTTCAGCAGCTGAAAAAAATATTAAGACAGAGAAGAAGATGAAGGAGGAGGAGGAGCAACAAAAAAAAAGTGTGAGAGAATGAATCTGTTCTGAGGCTTAGGATTTTTATTTCAATCAAGAGCAATTTTGTTATTTATATGAATTTTTTAATGACAAAAAAGTCCTTAGACATTTCATAAGGATTATGGCATTTTGAGGGATCAAAATGTCATTTATATAATTCAAAAGGGATTTTATTTTCATTTTTCCATGATTCTTTGAATAATCTTGTCTCTTTTTCAAAGAAAAAAAATCATGAATGCAAAACAAGGTCAACAAAAAAAATTGCAAAAACCATGAATGAAAAAAAAAACCATGAATGCAAAACAAGATGAACAATTTTTCCCTTGATTTTTTCCGAAAGTATTAAAGTAAATTTTGTGTAAATTTCAAGATTATTTTTGTTTTGTAAAATTTAATAATTCACTATTAATTTTAACCTTTAAGGATCAACATATATAATAGATCAAATTATAAGAATTTAATTAAAAAAAATAAATTGTAGGAATCTATTTTAAAATTGAGTAAAACGTACCGTAAGTACCTATATATACATGTATACATTTTCCCCTAATTAATAAACTATATGAAAGTGACACAGAATAAACAAAGAAGAGTCATGCAATCATATGGCTACAAGTATGTATCCCTTGTAATAAACTAATGCAAAGAATGCACACACAAGTTGATCTAAATTTTTTTGCAAACATGCTGGCATGTTATCTTGCTCTGTTATTGTGTGCGTCGCACGTCCTTTCTCTTTCTTTCTTTTCTTTTCCCCGCCTTAGTCGCACGTTGTTGTTTTTTCCATTTCTCAATAAAATATTCACAATCTCAAAGTCTTCCTTTTTGGCCATATAAACAAAACGAACAACAATGATCTAACCCCTATATATACATATACGTATATCACAGGGAACAAGTACTCAATCAATATCCTCTGTTGATCAATCTATTTGGTGTGACCGTCGGTGACGGTGAGTTTACATATCACCATGTCATTTTCTTTCACTTGCTTCCTCTTGCTTCTTCTTTTGGCCTTTTACTCCGTTTTAGCTTCAGCAAAATCTGCTGAGAGCTACGCTCATAATGGTGGTGAAGATAAGAAATACAATTCATCGCGGCCTGATGAAGGTGACGATAATAAGGAACACAGTTCATCGCCGCCTGAAGGTAGCGATGATGATGATGGTGCTATATTCACCTTGGAGGCACCGAACTTGGAAGAAACCATTCTGGAGAATCTCCTGTCCTTTGGCCACTATCGCAAAACTTGTGCACAGTTCGAATCCATTGTGCACCGAAAAGTAAATGAATGGGTTAAAAAGGATCGTACTCTCGGTGCCAGTCTCATGAGGTTGCACTTCCATGACTGCATTGTGAGGGTAAGCTTAAAATTACAACTTCATCTGTTCACAGAAATATATATATATATATATATATATGTATATTTGTCCAAGGAGTTTATATAGATCATTCAGTTACATGATTATATATAAGATGTTCTGTATTTTCAATTATTCACATTTGTATTTAATTACATACAAAAAATAATATTTTTGATTAAATTAGAGTTATTATAAAATTATTGGTATTTCAAAAATAAAAAGTAAATTTTATATACTGATCTTGATTTTTCTTTTGAATTACATAAGTTTTATTCAAGAGCTGCAGAGATCATTTTTAAAAATTAAATATTGAATTACACGGATATTTCTTGAATCTTTAACTATGAATAAAATGAAAACGTCCAACAATAATGTATTGGTGGCCTACTAATATTTAAAGACCACGCTCCATAAATACAACGCAAATCTAAGAGATTAAAAATAGATTTAAGGTGGTTAAATTGTTACCATTCATCTGTACATTGTATTGTCATCCCTAGAGCCATAAAAATGCTCATTAAATTAATAAAAATTACGTCCTCATCAAATTAAATCATGCTAGTCCCTCTGACCCATTTTATAAAAGATTTTTTAAAGTGATTTGGTGTCCCAAATATAAGATGCTTTAAAAAAAAATAAGGATTCTTTAATAATGATTATTCCAATATTGTCCTTCATTGTTTCACTTCTTAAATAGATTTCTCCCCCAGCCACTCTCTCATAAATAAAGGGTATTTTGAAAGTGTATAGAAAAATTCAGATTTAAAACTGTATTTAATCAATTTTATTGATATGTTATAATTTTTTTTAAAAAAAAACCTGATAAATTGGGATGGAAAGAGTACTATAGAACATCAAATTTAATAAAAGAAAATATTGCTAATATAAATATACTGTTCGCCACCAAATTAGTGAAGCAGATATATTGTCGTTGCATATTGATTATTTCACAATTCGATTTTTATGCAAGTTGCATAATTATTATTTCCAATTAAAGATGTGATATGAACGTGCATGCAAGTAGGGATGTGATGCCTCAGTTCTGTTAAACCACGAAACAAGCGAGAGAAGAGCAAATGCGAGCAAGACATTGAGAGGGTTCGAAGTGATAGACGAAATCAAAGGCGAGCTGGAGAAGCAATGTCCCAAAACGGTGTCGTGTGCTGACATTTTGACGGCCGCAACCAGAGATGCCACCGTCGCATTGGGCGGCCCGTATTGGGCAGTGCCCTATGGCCGGAAAGATGGACGAGTTTCGATCGCCGAAGAAGCCGAGACAGTGCCAATGGGTCATGAAGACATTACTTCTTTGCTTGAACTTTTCCAATCCAAGGGTTTGAATGTTCTTGACTTGGTCGTTCTCTCAGGTAATTTAAGCGAGCAAAATAAAATAAAATAAAATATATATATATATATATATATATTCATAAATAACAATTTCAGTTTTTTTTTTCATTTGCATTTTAGGGTCTGTTTTGGTGGCGTTAGTAACTTATAATTATGAGTCAAGATCACCTTAAACTTTTAGAAGGGAAAAAAAAAAAGAATACATTCTTAGACCACATTGAATTTTTAGAAACTAAATACTCATCCATTTTATTTTTAGATAAAGCATATGTTTATTTAAAAAATAAAAAAATAAATCATTTGGTGTCTATAGATATAGTTTTAAGTCAGTTGTAATTTAGTGTTTGAAATTTGATGGAAGAAACTTCTATGCTATTTCAATAAAATTTACAGTTCTTTTCATTTGCATTTTGGGATCTGTTTTGGTCCTTAGTATAACTTATAATTATAAGTCAAATCATATCAATTAGTAAACTAAGACACATTCAAATAAAAAATTTTAAATTTTAATTTGTATGTACAATTTCATATAAATGACATAGACATTCTCTATTTTTTATTTTATCTGCACATTGTATGGATTTTTTCTGACCTCTCTTTAGTTTTATTACATTACGGAAATCTTTCTTCTATATATTCTTAAAACTTCTACATACTTTCTTTTATTATAAAAGGAAAAAATAATACATTCTTAGACCACCTTGAATTTTTAAAATTAAACACACATTCATTGTACTTTAAGATATAGTTTATGTATATTTTAAAAATATATAAGAAACTTCTATGTCATTTCAATAAAATTTAATAGAGGTCCTTTATTTTATGAAAAAGTTTGTGTACTTTTAACGTAAATAATGAGATTTTTTTTTTGAGCAAATAATGAGAAGTTTTGACTAGTTTTAAGTGTCTAATGATTTTGAAAATAAAGAAATATCTATATTTTGGCAAAAATCACGTTGACCATATGGCTTTGCTGCTGCTCATCAGGAGCACATACTACTGGGAGGGCATCTTGTGGTTGCATTCAAGATCGGATCTTCAACTACAAAGGAACCCAAAAACCCGACCCGTCCATAGATCCAAAGTACCTCGACTTCTTGCAAAGAAAGTGTAGATGGTCTTCAGAATATGTTTATCTTGATGCTATCACACCAACAACCTTTGACCCTGTCTACTACCTCAATCTCAAGAAGAAAATGGCACTCTTGTCCACAGATCAAATGTTGTACTCTGATTCAAGAACCTTACCTCTTGTTTCGGCTTTGGTCGGCACGACGTCGTCGCTTTTTAACCACCAGTTTGCTGTCTCCATGGCAAAGCTTGGCAATGTTGGTGTGCTTACTGATGAAGATGATGGAGAAATCAGAACCAACTGTAATTATGTCAATGCTTATTGATATATTTGTTTTGTTGTTCTTGTGTATTTAATGTTCTTCTCTGTTTGGTTCCTTGTTTAAAAATTCTGTATTCGGATCCTTTGTTTGTTTGTTTGTTTGTTTTTTTTTTAAAGGCTCTCTTCTTAGGTTCACTCTGAACTATATGAAATTGCTGCATCAAGATCTTCAGGTTACTTCAACAAATCATTTTAAAAAATTATTCTGTCCACATAATTTATACATGTATTTAATTAGAACAAGCCTTTACTACTCCGCGAATTACACGGGAGCATGTAATTATATGAATTCAATGAGCCCATTGAGCCAAAAAAAACGTGTCATCTAAGTTAAGCTCGCAGACATCTAAATTAAGCATATGCAATAAGGATTACGTTGATATCTAATTACATACAAAGTGAAACATGTTTGAATAGATTTAAAAACTAAACACATATTGTACCAAGTTCCTAATTAAATGCATGTCCATAAACAAAATTCGTTGTAATATATGTCCTATGAGTCAAAAAAATTTTTAAATCTTTCATGCTCTTAAGTCTTGATAGTGCAACATATATTGGCCATGTGTGAAGATTGATTTTGTCAAATATAACCCGACATTGCCAAATGATTGCTTTAGACTTTTGTTAATCATCATTGCAAATAAAACAATAATTAGTAATTTCCTTCCTTATGAAAGGGCTATTTACTTTTTGAATTATTTACATTCATTTGATCAATTAATTATGAAAGAGCTATTTACTTTTTGAATTATTTACATTCATTTGATCAATTAATAGTTTCTCATTTTGCTTAGAACCATATTCAAAGTTTTGGCTTATATGACATTTGTTCCCGCGTGAGTTGTGAATAACCTTGTACTGTTACATAAACCAAAAACTTGATCTACATTGCACAACAATATTATAAGGATTTCAACCTTCAAGTAAATTTTATGAGGAGGCACTATTATAATATATACATTTTATGCCTCTCAACTTACATCACTTTTTTGTAATAATGACATAAAAAAATAAAGATGGTAACAATTTTATAAATAAATATTGAATATGTAAAATTATCAATACTTTTTTTGTTTAAAAAAGTAACGTGGATAATTTATTTATGTTTCTTTTTTAAAAAGCGATTTGAATTATAAAAATAAATTATTTTAAATTATTTATTTTTAAATATTTTTTATATCGTTTTTTTTAAAAGCAAGATGGATAAGTCATTGACGTCATTTTCTTAAAACGATATGAATTATAAAAAAATTATTTTAAATTATTAATTTTTAAATATTTTTCTCGTTACTTTTTAAAATACCGACGTGGATAATTTAAGAATTAAATGAGTCGCAAATCACGTCATTTTTTTGAAAACATGACATAGTTAACGGAAACCACGTTGCTCTCTTAAATAAAGGACATGGTTTGTCCATTTGATTAATCTATACCACGTCACCCTCTTTAGAAAGCGACATGGCATTTTGTGGCTGCGGGGATTTAGTTTTTAGTTCCTTGATTAACATGCACAGCTCTTGATCCCTAGCTTTCCATTTTCTGCGACGGCAGCTCCCTCCACCCTATCGCTACTCGCCGTCGTCCTGTCTTCCCTCGCCATTGTCCTCTCTTCCCTCCTCGCCATCGTACTTGCCTCTCTCCCTTCTCTCGGCTTACTCTCCTCCTCTCCTTCAATTGTCTCTCTCATGCTTCCATAGTTTTCGGCCACTTCTAGTATTCTGGGAACTTAAGTTGCATGAGGGTCAAGTGGTTTTATGTGCTAGAAGGCTTCCACATATGAGGTGTGCTGAATTTTTTTCCTTCCTATTGGTGGAATTTCATGTGCAAATTTTGTCAAAACCCTAGCTGCTTGAATTTAATTTTTGTTTGGCACATCAACGAATCTCAGTTTAATTGGATTTATGGGTTTGATTGCTTGCGTTCCTGCAAACATGTTAAACTTGTTTAATTGTTTTTTATCCTCTGTTTCAACCTAATACATAAACCAAGTTTAAATGAAGAGTTATAATTCCATGATTTGTCTCATCCATAAATATCAACTTAATTCTCTGTTTGGTTTAGCTTCCGTGTGCGTGTATGAGTATTTTGAAGGTATTTGATTGTGTTTTTGCTGAGTGCCAAAGATCGCCTCGAGTGTCTCATTCTATCTAGAAGGTTTGCTTCTTCTCTATCCATTATAAAGCAAAGTCATGTGAATGGGAATAATGATGGTGCAGAGAAGGACATTAATGGTGGTGGAGGCGTGAAGGCGTGAGGTTGAAGATGAGGCTTCCTAAGTCTGAGGTTGAGAAGCTTGTGGGAGAAATGAAAGAAGAAGCTACACAGAAGATTATGAGTCTGTGGATGGAGAAAAATGGTGGTAGCAGAAGCAAAGAAGCAAAGACTAGCATGACGGCATGTGAGGTATGTTTCTTAAAGAGGACACATATATATAATGGTTTTGGTTCTATTTTTGATTCTGTCTTGTCTCTTGTCTTCTTTCTTTTGGTGGTTGTTTTGTTGTGCCGTGTCTATTATTTTGACTCTGAGAACTTCTGAAAGTACAGCAAAAAGAACGAGGTTAATAATCTGAAGTTGGATATATTCTTTGAAGCAAAAACTGATGACAGATTTGAAGAATCTGAAATTTAGTGTCTCCTAAAAGTTACATAAAGTTAATCTTAAGGTTCTTTCATTTCCCTATGCACTCACATTTGGGCTAAGTACAGATTTCTAGTTTTTTTTAAATTCATACGTTAATAGATCAAAATAAAATGTGAACTAAATTGTGTGTTCACGTGAACTGAGAAGCATTTTTTTTATTGGAACATATCTTTCATAAAACCTAGAATCAGGTGGTAAGGTGAGTCTGTGAGTGAATGATAATGATAAATCAAAAATGTATTTATATATGAAGGGACAAAGCTGACCTAGAAAACAGAGTAATATTGCTTAGTAGGTAAGACCATCCATTATTTTCAAAACAGAGGAACAAGATGGACCCACTAAAAGAATAAAAGAATTAAACTTAGTATATTGAGTTATAATTTTCTACACAATTTAAATTATAATTAAGTCTCTGAGTCTTTTAAAATTGGCTAAAATACTGTACATTTGGTTTTCCAACTTTTATATGTTAACAATGAGCAGACACGCGTGTTGTTGACAAGTGCTGCTTATGTTCATTTAAGACTATTCTACTATCTGGACTAGAAGGTATTTGTCGAGACACATTTGTTTTGTTTTTTTTCCTGAGAAGGGATTGATATGTTTTTGTATTTAAAGTCACAATCATATATTCTTCCCCCTCTTCTATGTAGAACTTTACCAACAGGTTCTTGGCAAGGCCCTAGCTTATTACTTTGAAGCAAAGTTGCTTCTGTTAGATTCAACTAACTTTTCATTGAAGGTAAGTGTGAGCACTTTTTGTGTGTCATTCTTAGCTTTCTCCAAGAACATATTCACATTCAAACCAAGAAAAGACTGTTGTTCGTGGCATAGGATTTGTATGATTTTAAGTTTACCGCTTAATTTAAACCATTAATTTTTATGAAAAAGTTTATAATAGTAGCTAGAAAGACTATTTATGTCATATAATTCATTAAAAAAAAAAAATTGCACACCTGTACGTGGTGATTGGGTGGTGTTGTACTAGAGTGGATGGAGTGTCGAGTAAATTGAGGTGGCGAACAAACCTTGAAAAGATTATCTTTCTAAGTGCACTATAGCTATCTACTTGTAACGTGGGCTTAATTGTTATGCATTGGCTTCTTCCTCCCTAGTAATGAATGGGAATTTTGACCTTTTAATTTTAGTAAAAGATAGGGAGAGAGAAAATTGTGAGTCAAAGGGAGACAAAACAAGGATAGGATTTAGGGGGGCCCATTTTAAATGAATTTGGAGAGCTCTCATTGTAATGTTTCAACGGTCATTTATTTGTTTGTTTGCTTAATCCAAATATTTTTTTTATGGGTGCTGTAGCTTGTCCGCCAAATCTCACTTTGATTGGTTTACCTATATAGGTCTTACAAGTTAAGCACTCTTTGCATGACGAGCAATTATTTGCATGACTTTATTTATTATTTTATTTATTTATTTATATGTCATATATCAGTTTCTTGTGCCACAATGGTGTGTTGTTGATTGAATTTATTTTTAATACTGATGAATAAATATTTTAGAAAGGAAGCTTGGACAAAATTCTCCGTCATCCTAATCGTCAGATTGATGAGAAACGAAGGATAAAAATGGCTTTGGCTGTGGTATGAATTATGATATTCTCCATCATCCTAATTTTGTTCTATATTTGTAGATCCTTTTATTCAGAATTACATATAGATATTTACTTCTTTGGCATATTAACTTAAGCTAATCAAACTGGTTTATTGTCTTGTGTTTATGGATATGATAAACTTGTTTGTCAAACACTTTGATATATTTACTTCCTCGTTGCTTTGTTGTATTTATAGGATGCATCTTGCTTTCTTTTCTTGGCTTTAATTATTGGTGGTTGTTTACTATTTTTTATTAATTAAATATCTCTTTCTTAGTACAAATAACTTTTTAATCAATTATTATTTTTCTCCACATATTTTTGAGAATATAGTGTATTTTTTTTTGGATTGGAATTTATTTTTAAATCCCTTTCAACCCAAAAAAAAAAATACCCCTATTTTTTTAAAAAAAATGCCAAACTTTTTTCGTCACTTTTTTCATAAAAGTGATGTGGTTTCTTGAAAAGCGACATCCCTCTTGGTAAAAAAGCAATGTGGTTTGTCATATCTGCATCTCTAATAAAAGTGATGTGGATGAGTCAATTTTCTAAGTCACCCTGGTTTATGTCCCCCATAATAGTGATGTGGAATGCTCTAAAAAAGAGATGTGAAAAGCTTTTTTTTTTTTGTAGTATTGAGGTAATCCAAAGCAAATGATTATGTTAAGAAATTCAGACTTGTACAAATTATCAAAGGAATCACTATCTTCTGTCGACTTGCAAATGAAATCACAAGAACTCAATGGATTCACTAGGAAGTAATGAATATATGCAATCATTAACTTGGTTGACAACTTGAATAGTAGGAGCAAGAATTAGCTCAATCATTA